AATTGTATGTCCCCTTTGATAATAGAATTTTCGTCCAAAATAAAATTGATATTCTACTTTCTTTTCTAGAGGAAATTTCCAATTTCATGACAACTTATAACAAACTATGTTAAATATAGTAAAAGAAAAAAATTTACGAACGATACTTATAAACGCTAAATGTTCTCCATTTCATTCATTTTGTAAGGGAAGAATTTGATTGTTAACTATGATACTTTGATATTTGTTTGATTTTTAGCTACTATACTTCGTGAAGCTTAACGAAGATTGTGAACATACTTTATTTTTTCCTGCCTCAATCGAACCGCGTGCGTTAAGAGATTTGACAAAGAGGTTCAGACAAAGAGTATCAGAAATGCACATTGCGTGCGAGTTTCTCGTGCGAGAATGCGCGTGCGGGGTTGTGACGAGACACTTTTGTGCCCGCTTTGCCCGACATTCTTCTCCTTGTAACAATGAAGCGGTAATTGGAATTTTGGGTCGAGTTTGCATAAGCATTCAGGACGTAGCAACGCCGATCGATGTCACCTTTCCGACTGTATTCGAACATTCTAATTTTCCCTTCGCGAGTTTCCACGCTCGCGACCTCTAATTTTCCTTGTTTGCGCTCTCCTTTGGCGTTCACGCAAAGCTCTGCTCGACGTGGGACCGTAACACGTGGATTTCCATGAATGAAATGCTTCGCAAAACTTCAGGGACGATATCTACTTTTACTGTTCTAGAAATCGTCTCAAACGACTCGGTTCAAGCCAATCGACCCAATTACTCCCACGATACTCGATTTCCAGCGGATTTGCCTGGAAACGATCGCTGAATGACCAATCAACCCTTTCCACTTTCTCGGCCGTTGAGAACCTGTTACCATCGATTCTCATCGCGTAGGCAAATAATAAAAAGGAAAGTAACCAAATGCAGCCGATTTTTCTTTTTTCTTTCTTTCTCCTGATGAGTAGGGTGAGAGTGATAGATCGAGACAAGGTTCGATGAGACCATGTAAGAAATTTTATTTATAAATAAGTCAAAGTCGCGCGTGAATAAATAATAAATAGAACGATTCTAGGAGGGGAGAAAATTGAGTTCCTTCGACAGCCTATTTCCTGTACGCCCTGTAGGGACCGTGAGCTGGCGATTCCCAGTGCGGCGGGTGCTCTACTGGTGGGTGTCCGTAGTGGACGACTTCGTAAGCGACCTTGGGTTTCGTCAACTTGAAGATCACCATCGCTCCACTGAGCACCAGCGAGAGGAGACCCAAGGTGAGAGCTTTCCAAGTCTTCAGGGCGATCAAGGCAAGGGCGAGCGGCACCAATGCAGTGGCTTTAAACTTCAGGCCCAGCAGGAACGGTATCATAACCTTCTTGACGAATCCACGGCCTGCGAATATCATCCGGATGAATGTATCAGATTAACTGAAACTCCACTTTTTCCTCTTTACAAAATAAATTTCGTTACCTTGACCGTTCGAGGAGTCTGACAGAGGAACGGTCAAACTCCTGGGCATGCTGTCCACCAGAGATCTTGGTACAATGTTGGATCCAACAATGGCCTCGGGTAACTTAGCCTCCAGCTGATGGCTGGACAAGTACGCGTCCAGTTTCTCCAACATCAAGGACCTCAGAAGTTCCTTCCTAGCTGAGTCTACGGAATCATACTGCGAAGGGTAGTATTCTTCGCTGCTCTCTTCGGGCATGTCTCTAGATTTCACGATCGTCAAATCGTCCGTGATTCCTAGTCTGTCTTGTTTCACCGCATGGCTGAGATAAGCCAGGACTTTGGGTTTCGCGCACGATAACACAGACTCATTGTCAGCGCATCTGCGAAATGAAACGAATCGTTGGAGCATAATTTTTTCTTTTTTTTTTTTTT